GAACCCGGAGGAGGCCTAATCTGTGTGATCTAATGGGTCTTTGGGAGGTAAAAAGAATCATATTTCTTCTAAAGGCAAAATCTGGGTGCTATCATGAGCAAGAGTGAATGTCCAATCATTTCCACTGATAATATTTCTAATTGCTCAAAGATTATTGCAAGGACTCTTCCACTTTGATTTAATTGCAAGACAACTGTCAATTCAGGCTTTTATTCCTTCAGTCTAAACTTTATATTCATAAACAATATGAATCTACGACTTGTGGTTAATAAACCAGAATATAAACAATTTGTGTGCTGGTAAACAGCATCATTATCCTCCTTGGTTTCCTATCTCACAATATTGAAACAATAATTTGATTTGTGGACAGTATCATCCTATGTTTCCAAGTGAAGCAAAATATACTTTATGTAAATTTTTCATAAGCTTACTTTTATGTGGTTTCCTTTCTCACACGAGTAGGTAAAAAACTCCACGATAGTAAAACTTTGCAAGTTGCTCATACACTACGTAGGTGGAATTATAGGTTTTTTTTTTTACTATGGCAAGCTTAAATAATGAACCCTGCTTTAAGCTGAACGTTTTTGTTTAGGAACAGTGAACTATAATTCTTGATGCCTTATGAAACTCAGCCATCCTAATTTTTAGCAGTTTTTGTGAAGTGTGAATGAGCAGATTTTATGCATGAATGGGCTGTTCACGTTCTCCTAAATCTTCTTGTCTTAATTCAAGATGACACCTCTGCCCTGGAGTTTGTAGGCAGGGTTCAGGGTTAAAAGACCTCACTATAGGTGGGAGAAATCATGCATGTGAATATACAGACAACTGTTCAATACACTATTTTAACAGATAAATGGAAATAAACTTAAGACAGGCTTGTTTTGAGTTTATTTCCAGCCAGCATTGCTGGCTGCGGAATTCTGAGAGGTGAAAGCCAAACATCTTCAAGTGGCTGAAGTTGAGAAACACTGGGTTAAAGGGTAATGTTTTCACCCAAATATTTTCCACATTCCACAGTAGTGCCCTGTCTTCATTTTGACAGCTAATAGACTTCCAGCACCTCTTTTCAAACCCAGACTACATGGTATTTCCAGAATTTAAGATACTTATTTGTTTCCAACAACTTGCCAGATCTCAAAAAGTATAAAAAGTCCCTGAAACTCACCTGTTGTAATAGGTTTTTTTTCTTTGCTCCACCTGTACCACTTTGTTGTTTGAATGTACACTGAGAGCTTATACAATGGAGATAAATTCCTTGTAGGTTCAGTCACACTTGGCCAATAAAGAATTAGCTGTCCTATCCTATCCTATCCTATCCTAGCCTAGCCTAGCCTAGCCTAGCCTAGCCTAGCCTAGCCTAGCCTATCCTATCCTATCCTATCCTATCCTATTATTTAGATTGTATTGAGTCTAAAAGCAGCCTTTTCTCTCTCTCTTATTTTATTTAGATGGAAGTGATTTTGCTATTACCCAAACCCCACAGAATAATATTTTAAAAAATCATGGCCTTATAAATAAATTAAACATTAAATTAAAAGCTGTTTAAAGTGACCCTCAGCAGAACTTGCAAGGCCCAATGTACTACTCTAGCCAGCATAAGTTGTGTACTCTTCTTCTATCTTGTTTTTGAAAGGTAAGGAAAGGAAAGGCAGAAGAATCATGCCTCTTTCACTTGTACATTCTTTTCCTCTTTTATTTTAAGTTATCCTCTAGTTGCCTGCAAATTCCATTACTTGCTTGTATTGCATTTCCTTCCCCAACATTATTAAATATCTACTACATAAGACATTCCTGAGGCACTTCAATTATTTCTTCAATAACATTTTAAGTTACCTGAGCTGTTTATGTGCAGATGAGCTATTTATTTAAAGTTTTGAAGCATGTGGGGGGAAAGGCTTTTACAATCAAAGGTACAGCAAAACTGAAGTACATTTTGCAGATATATTACATGGAAATGATGTTCTTGATGTCATACTGATTATACATACGTGTTAGCCCTTATCCCTACTCTAGACCTACCTGAAGAAAACATTTTACCAAGCTTTTGTTGCTTAATTGTAATGTTCAATAATTTAATGCCATCCTACTTGATGCTTTTTATTAATATCTGCTTTAGGGCAGTTTAGGAGACCATGGCCTTCCTGGAGAAAATGGTGAAAAAGGAAAAATTGGAATTCCAGGTCTTACTGGCCCTCCGGGTGAACCTGGAATCAGAGGCATTCCAGTAAGTAAACTCAGATTTTTTTGTAGATTTAACAATATATATATATATATACCAGGGGTGGGTTTCTCGCCCTGTTCCAACCGGTTTAGCTGCTCCTGGAGGATCGCGCAGGCGCTGTATGTGTCCTGCGCATGCGTGGAAGTGCAGAACTCGTCGAAACCGGGTAAGGAACGCGGGCGGGTGGGCCCTTCGCCGTTCACGGAAGTTACTTACTTCCGGGTTCGCCGACCAACCGTTTCTCGGGCACCGCTGCGAACCGGTTGAAACCCACCCCTGATATATACCCAGTTGTTCTAAAGAATCTTAGCCTTAATATTTTACCCAACCGTGTCCCAAAGGTTCATAAAATAAAATTACACTGTTCATAAAACCGTGGTAAGACAATTTCCCTACTAAATTAATGCCACAATACTTATAGGAATATATCACACAATACAGTCACTGCCAAAGTTGTAGCATTACCTGGAAGAATGAAATTGAAGAAATAAATGGCATGATCTGAATAATAGAAACTTATTACATTTAAGTAAAGGCCACTCTTACCCAGAGAAAATTGTCCTTAAAAAATTTGAAAGGCATGGCTTATATTATGAAACAAATTACTGATTCCAGTTGAACTCTGTCTTTGGATGGGGTTTTCTCTTCAAACAGCAATAATTAATCTTATTTTCTGGCATAGTAATAAGAACATGGAATGGATTATTTTTGACACTTATATAGGTCATATAATGATTTGAGATATAAAACAGGAGCATTCATTTTGTTGTTCCAGTTTTCTTGGTTTTGCATTTCTGATTAAGATACTGTGAATCTATCACACTCTGCATATGCATGGAATGTGATGTAGGCAGACATATAAAGTGTTAGGCTTCAAAACCTAAACAGGACTTTAAACAGTTTTTTTTAAAAATCTTGAAATGATTGTTTTATCACATCTTTTCCAGAGAATATTTGGCCTTCATAATAAGGATTTTTCTTTATGTAAGGAACATTAGTACTTATTTCATCATTGTAACATGTTAGGTAACATGAGGCATAAATACACCTTATGTTTTCTATTATAAAGAAAAAGTCAGAGTGATTGCAAATAATGATCTACAAATTGTGTCAATTATTGTCCATTTCTAATTTTTGTGAACTATTATTGATTGATGTGTCGGTTTAAAACATTTATATCTCACCCTTATTCTTGGGGAATAGTAAAAAAAAAAAAAACCAGACACAGGATATGTGGAAAGTGGAAAACATAGTAAGAGATACGCCATTTTTTTTTAAAAAAATGCTTCTTTTAAAATTAAATGTGAACAGGAATGATATTAGAAAAGATATATGCACAAATGCACATATTATAATGGATCAGTTCTTGCAATTACGTGCAAGACCCCCCCCCAAAAAAAGTATCTAAGATAGTATTAAAAATAAAATCTTCCATAGTAAAGAATGTGATTGGTTTAAGGACTTTTTTTTATCCACAAAAATTGTCTCCTTGATTTGTTTTTTTGGTGTTATTTTTTCCCAAAGCTGGTCCATACTGTTCCATTATTTCCCAAATAAAGACCTGTTATAAAAATAATGTTTTATAAAAAGTATACCTTGGAAACAGGTTTTAAGTCCATTCTTAACCATGGAAGTCATTAGTTTTCTTTGGGCCAGTTGCCTTTTTCTTTCTAATCTGGAGAAAAAGCAGGGTATAATAAATAAATAGATTTAGGGTCAAATTTAATGAAACACTAGTTAAACAATTAGAAATTGTATGAGTGGCTTAAAAAATGTTGGCGTTGTTGGGTGAGGAAACCATCTGGATGAAGATTTACATAGTGGGTAACCTATGCTGGAGTTTTCAGTACAAACAGTCCTCAATTTATGACCAGGTTAGCAAAAGTTGTGATGGACACCCAATAATAGCATTTGCAACTAGGATTTGAAGTTCTGAGGTTTGTTCCCCACCCCCGTGTCACATGATTGCATTTTGTGTGCCCTGCAACCAGCTTGCATTTACTGTTGTTTGTAGCATATGTTTTTTTTAACCAGCATTTACTTCTGGTTTCCAACAAAAGCTATCCGTTGCAGACAATGCAACATTCACATAATGACCACCATATTCATTTAATGACTGCTGCAAAAAGTGTTGTAAAATCGGGTCGGTCACATGGGTGTCTTGATTTACGATCATCATGACATACAAAAGAAAGTCCAGGTTCTATTAGGGTCATAAGTCAAGGACTAGCTATAGATGACTTATGCCCACTGTTTGTATTTAGAGACAAAGCAATTGAATGGGGCAGTTTTAGGGCCCAAAAGTTTTCCCCCTCCTACATGAAGTTGTGATTCAGGAAACAATCCTGCATTTTCCATTTGTTTTTTTAACAACCATCCATCTGATTTGTAGCTGTTGAAGTGGTACCTCATCTAATTTGTCAGTAAGCTTGGCTGATATCTCAAGACATGACACAGTTTAATAAAAACCAGAAACCTTTTGCTGTGCTTGTTTTGAATAAACTATTGCAGAGAAAAACTTAAAAAAAACTTATCTAGCTGCATATTTTGTTTGTTTGTTTATTGTAATAAGGAAACGTAATAGAGTTTTCTTATGAAAAAGCTATCAACTCTAATCCAATCATTGTTTAGAAAAACATTTTTTATTATTATTATTTTCTGCAGTATTTGTTTTTTCTAACATGACAGTCATCAGCTCCTGTCTGATGCAAAATGATGTATAGCTATGAAAATCTGGTAGTATAGATGAGAAATGGAATACAGTTCGAATTGCAAGTGATCGAAAAATTATCAACATAGCTTTAAAAAACCCAAAAATGAAATATGAGATTTTCAGTGGGGGGTTTTACTGTGTGGATCCTGCCATATGGTTGGGAAGAGCAGACAGTTATGAGTATATTTATCCAAGAAGTATGGATCCAGTTTTAGGCAGTAACTGTTTGGCATTGAGGAGGATCAATTTTATTGGATTCTTGGAAATGCAGAAAGACAATAGCCATCTGCTGCTTCAAAGACTACTTTGTATTGTTTCAGTCAGAAAGATAAGTAGATCAATCTGGGATCTATGTATGTATGTGTGAATGTATTTAAAAATGTTCATCCTAATTTTGGCTCTACCTAAATGCAAATAATCAGTCAGAATAAAAATAACTAAAACTCCATCTTAAAAAAAGGCATCTAAAAAGTCTGGTATAAAAAGAAATGTTTCTATACCGTTCCAACATGGCTTCAGCACTTGATAGTTCCATAGACTAGATCACGGGTGTCAAACTCAATCGCGTCACTGGCCGGATTGTGACATATCGAGATGTTTTTTTGCCTTTGCGGAACCGGAAGGTGTGGCCTGCGCATGATGTATCTGGCCCACAGGCCGCCAGATTGACAGACCTGGATTAGATCTTACCACATGAAAGGTGGGAAAAAGATGGACTGAGTGGAATTAGTGCTACTGCAAATAATTTGGACAGAGTTGCATAGGACTTTATAAGCCACAGTAAGTAGCTTGGAGTAAGCTTAGAATAGCTGCTTCAATATAGAGATGATGCTATCCTTTCTGAAGTACCACTTCAGAATCACAATTGATTCCACTTTCCAAACTATCTTCAAGGGCACTCCATCAAAAGGACCTCAGTCACCAACATCAGGTCTCTTTGTTCAGCAATGAACACATTTAGTTTAGCAGTAAAAGATAAGCTTCTCTCACACCAGTGCCTGGGAGACCTCCCGAGGTATGACCTGATCTATTACAAGAGTTATTCGTTTAGATAAGTTATATCTTCTAAATCCTTCAAGCCACTCACCTGAATAAGTAATAACTCCATGTTTTCAGATTCGTATTTTCTTTCACTTAAGTCCTTTACATCCCAGGGACCTGAAGAATTCACTTCTGTCTTTCTAAGATCTCTCAGTAGGTTTTGATACTATTGACCATGATAATCTTCTGGACTGGCTTTGGGGGCTTGGAATGGACATCACTATTCTGCAGTGGTTGTTGTCTTTTTTTCTGAGACTATTTCCAGTTTGTGTGGGTGGGGGAAAGAGGCCTCTCTTATTGGGGAGGGGATTTCAAGGCTCAATTCTCTCTCCACTCCTAATTAATATCTTCACAAAAATGCTGGATAAAGTTATTCATGGAAGACCAAGTGACTGGATTTGATAACTCTTCAACTTTTTAACTCTTGAGAGAGTAAATCTACAAATGTGGCCTCAAATTTATCTTCCTTTATGTTAACTACTGTAGGGTCCTGAGGGAACACAAGGAAGTCCAGGTCAAAGGGGTCGTCCAGGAAAGAAGGTAAGCGGTCTTCCTCTTTTATCTTGAATTGGGCAGAAAACTAATTATTCATTCATTAATCATTCGATATTAATAAATATTGTTCATCTTAAGAATAGAGTGGCGTGGCGACCTAATCAAGGTTGAGAATTCAATCTTAGGTAGTAGCAGATGGTTCTCTCTCAGGGTGCAAAGAGAAAACATCTGCTATGAATTCCACATAGGCATTAGGAAGGACATCCAACCAGTAAATATTCAGCTCCATTCTGTCGCCCCGATTCTACCCCGAATTAAGGGATTACAGGATCATAAAAAGAAATAGGTGCTAGTTTTAAGAATAGATTTTTTTTCTTTTTACCACCCTGTAATCCTTTAATTTGGGGAAGAGTTGGGGCAACTGAATGGGTCTGAGCATTTACTGTCCATTTACTGATGCCTACATGAAGCTCACAGCAGATACTTCCTCTTTGCGCCCTGAAAGAAAAATATCTGCTGCTATCTAGCTTTGAACTCCCAACCTTCTGAGCGTCTTCACTACTAGGCCACCATGCAACTCAATTTTAAGAATAGAATAACAAATAATGTTTCTTATTACAGATTGACTTACATTGTTCCCTTAACAACAGCTCAAATTAACAATGGCCTCAGAAAGACTGCTTTGCGACCTGAAAAGCGCCTCTAACCATTGGAAAACATTGCATCAATCCTCCCAACCCTCATGATCAAGTAATTATGATCTGGATACTTGGAAAGCTGTTCTAATTTATGACTAGTCCGCAATCTCGTGTTCACTATTTGAAGTCTTCTTTGCCAGATTCTATAGAAAGTCAATGGGGAAGTTGATAGGGAAGATTGCAAGCTCTGTTGCTGCTGCCACGAACACTCCCTCTTGTCTCTGGGAACTGGAGGAAAGAATTGCCTGCTGAAGGTGTTCAGGTCCTTGCCTGCCTGTGTGGAGCTGAAATCTTCCTGCCTGCTTGTATAGAGCTGAAGTCTTGCCTGCCTGATTGCACATGAAGAATTTTCAGTTTCTGAATATAAACACTCGTGCACAGCTTGTATCAGGCCTCCCAGGGCCTACCCCATCCCCGTAAGACACCCAACGCTCTTTACTTGGTTCTCTGTCTACTTAATAATCCACACGATTACCTACAACCTTAAGTACCAAGATTGCGTTTATTGAGCAAACCAGTCATGTAATGCCCCAATTGCTGGATTCTGATCCCTGTTGTGATCGTAGTAACTACCAATACCTATATCGGGTTTCCACTATGATTTGTAATTGGCGTAATGTTTTTCTCCATTTTATTCTTCTCCCAAATAGGGAGAAAAGGGTCATCATGGTTTCCCAGGAGAAATTGGAGCTACGGGTGAACCTGGCAAGACTGGGGAAATTGGTCCAAAGGGTTCAAGAGGAACTAGAGGACCAGTGGTTGGTATAGTATTAATTTAAGCTTTACAACCCTCTGTAGTTTTATATGAATTTTGATGCAAGTGAAGAGCCTGTTTAAAGCTGATTGGTTTGTCTGGATTTGTGAATTGTCTAAAATTTATAGCATCCCTAATAAATCATCATACAGAGTTTAACGGGCTAATCTTGTCAATCGCCTTTGTTGATATGTAGACAAAATGGGTGAGAATGCTCAGTAACCTATTTGTAAGTAACAGTTTTTATATTATTTTCTAGAAGCCACTTTCATAATCTGTACTGTTTACTTGCTATATAGTCATAATCGTGCCTCTTCTCTTAAAAAAGCAAGAACAGGGCGGCATTACTTATTTCCTATGCAAATAAGCTCAATTCACTAAATTTGTTCAGTTATTTTTTTTATTAACCTAAATAGAAAATATATATCGCTATATGACAGGTTCATTCATCTATTTTATATAACTATATATTATAGCTATATGCCACCAATCTCACTATCCAAAGTGACCCTGGGTAGCTTATTTATGTCTGTTTGCAGGGTCCTGCAGTCACATGGACATGATTTACAATATTTTTGCCAAGAACCAGCATTTACTTCCAGTTTTCAGAAAAAACACTGCATAGAAAACATGGGTTCCCTTAATAACCACAGTGTGCAATTAGCAACTGTAGATTTAATGATCATGGTGATTCGCTTAATGCCTTCTATAAAGAAAAAGATCATAAAATCAGGTTGGCCATGTGTTGACCTGCTTTATGACAGTCATGATCATAATGGGCAGGTTGCATTATGGTCATATCAAGTGCTACATATTTCTTTTCCTTCTATTAACAGCTACTCAAAGAGGTGATGCTGAGACAGAAAATGGCGGGTTCTGAGTAGACAGTAGAACTTCCTCTCTTGGGTTCACTAACTTGTATTTGCTCACTGTGTCCTCTTTTCCTATCACATGATTGACATGTTACAGGTCTTCACTGTCCTGTTTTTTTAAGTCCATGTGGCTCATTTTTGGAAGAAAAAATATCTGAATTGTTTTTCACAGATTCGCTGTGAAATGACATATTTAAAGGCAGATAAATATTTTACTGGGCAAATTTATTATATGTGCTTCACTTACTGTATGCTTATTTATATCTGAAATATTGTATCCTGAAATTGAATGCTTGTGTTCTATAGCACATTTTTAAAATTGATTTTTAAACTGATCATGGATATCTACAAGTCTGCGTTATTTTAAGTATTTTTTAAGAGACAAAACCATCAGATTTCCCTCTTGTATTATAATCTGATTCAGTTATATTTATTTAATATATCACAAATTTGTTTAGCATTAGTTTTTAAAAAGAATTCTTATGGTTTTAACCAGGATTAAATTTATTTCAACTGTACTGTACTTCCATTGGTAATGTGCTTAACTCTCTATTTCCATGCTTTGTGAATGTTTCCAAATAGAAATACTATGTGAATTGATAGCTTGGCTAATTATTATTACATTTACATTACATTTAAATTATTAAAGTATTAAAATGTGTTTATTGCTACTTTTCCTTGTACAGGGACATTTAGGAGCAATGGGATCAGCAGGAAAACCAGGAATTCCAGGTTATGGGGTATGATACATTTCTGAAATGTGTTCATCGGACTATCCAACTAGTCTATTAATTTTATGATAATTGTTATCTAATGAATGAAAGCAAATATGTACATGTCCCAGGATAATGTTGAAAGATCCAATCTGGGTCGGTCACCAGGACCAGAGGTTTACTTTCCCAAACTTTCGGACATGTGCTGGAGCCCATCTTCAGGGAACTTTTTTCTATTGCACAATGCACATTGGGTTATTCTATGAGTCGTATTTATGTGGCGCCTTCCTATTGTTTGATTGATGTATTGGTGGCCAGCGATTGGCTATTGTTTATTGATTCCAAGTTTCTTAAACTTGCTAGTTTTGGCTTTCAACAATTATAAGTGTATCCATTTGAAAACAGCTATGGAAATCATGGATCATATTATAATTTTTCAGAATATTTCTCAGAAGTGTTTAGATTTTTTTAAAATCCTCATCAGCATTGGCAAGGGAACTAGATTTGGCAGGGCCTAGATGGTGGGACTTTTCTGCTATGGCATCTGTGCTGTGGAATTTCTCTCTACTGAAGTGAGGGTTGGCCTCATCTCTTCCAAGTTCCAAAAATCCCTTAAGTCATGGTTAGGCCAGTAGGCCTAGGGCCTCCAAGGAATGGATGAACTAGTTAAGTGGCTCCATAATCATTAACATCCCTTTCTCTGATATTTCTTCTTGCTTGTTTTTTTAAATACTTTTTATGGTTTTAATCAGTGGTGGGTTTCAAAAATTGTTTGAACCTACTCTGTAGGTGTGGCATCCTTTGTGGGAGTGACTTGCTGCCCATGTGACCGGATGGGAGTGGCTTGCCGCCCAT